TGGTGGGAGGAAAGCCAGGACAGGATGCTGCCTGGAAGCCAAGGGAAGATGGTGTTTGAGGAGGGAGCTCTCAGTGGCCATGTGTTGCTGGGGGAGTAAGATGAGAATGAAGAACCGTCCACTGGATTTGACAGCTTGTGGGCCATTGGTGACCTTGAGAAGAACAGTCCTGACTAGAATAGGTATATGTGATGAGGAGGTGGAGACACAAGTGTAGACCACCTTTAGAGAGTTTTGTTTTTTGCAAAGGGGGTGGTAGCGGGAGAAGGATGTGGTGTCAAGAGGGAATGACAGAAGGAGAGAGGACAACGCTATAGCATATTTAACAGAATTGTGAGGCAACAGCTGTAGAGCTCAGTCCAGATGGGGTGAGAGGTGAGGGGTCCAGTGTCCAAGAGGAGGGGGTGTCAAGAGAATGGGCACTCATCTGTGTCGGAGGGGAGAAGGCAGAGTGAATGGGCTCATAGTGTCTGCCTGTCAGCTGAGGAGATTTAGGCAAATGGGGGCAAGAGGAGAAGGTATGATATAGTCATCTCAGAGACTAGGGTCAAAGTTTTAGAAAAATGTAGAATTTGCTAGAGGTGCTGAGTGCCCACCAGAGCTTTGCACTCAGAAGTTTCCACCAAAATCAGTCAGTCCAGTTGTGTTATTCTCCAGATGCTCTGGAATGGGTGCCACATGGAGAGCTGGTTTTAACTGGAGTTTGTCTTGCCTGGTGAGTGACTATAGCAGCAGGCAATGGCAAGGGAGAGGAGGCACGTCTACAGGCACCCATGGAGTCTAAGCTGGGAAAAGAGGGAAGGGAGAACATCAAGGGGCTGATGGGTGGTGAGAGTGGAGGGTCAATAGATGAAGCAGAGGGAGTGCTGGAGCGGGAAGCAGAGTGGATAAGCTAGATGGGTAGGAGATGAGGTGCCCTTGGTATAGACAAGACATGTGGGTGAATAAAGATGGAAGGAAACAAGGAAGTTGAGGCATGGAGAGGGAGGTGTTAGATGTGGCCATCAGAAATGGTAATACCCATAGTATTAGAGGAAGAGAAGGTGATCCAGGGGCTGAGCTGGTCCGGAAAAGAGGATAACCAGGATATTTTATTTGTCTGTCCACTCAGTGTGTCTGCAACTGAAGTTATCAGTATGTCCCTCAAACCTGCTCCTCCAGTGGGGAGATGGCACCATCACCCTGGGAAGAAACCTGGGCGTCACTTTGGCTCCTCTCTCCCTAATCTGCACACCCACTCAAATCACCAAATCAGTCTGATTCTATCTGGTAAATCTTTCTTAAATCCAGCAACTTCTTTACATCCTCAGTGCACACACCCTTGTTGAGGCCATTGTTATTTGTCACTTGGACTATTGCATCAGTTTCCAAGTAGGTGGCCCTATCGTGGCCCCTCTGCACATTAACTGGAGACACTGCACATGAGATTGTGTCACTTCTGTGCTGAGTCTCTCCAGTGACTACTGATTGTCCTGATGATGAAGCCCGAAATCCTTAACAGGGCTTTACCATGAAAGCTCTGCATGATGTAACCCTTGACTACTCCGGTCCGACTCTTACCACCAGCCCCCGTCCCTGGCTCCAGCCCTCCTGGGGTACTTCCTGTCCTGGTCATCCTGTCCTTGCTCTTCTCTCCATGCCTTTCTCAAGCTGTCCCTCTACCTGGCACCCCCTCCTTGCTCTGCTTGGCAAAATCCTCTTCATTCTCTAGGTGTGAACTCAAGAAGTCTCAGGGAAGCTTTTCCTGGATCCCTGGATATTGGATTCCCGCCTGCCTCCCCCCAGCACCCTGTGCTCCCCAGGATGCTAAGAGCTGTCCTCTTCATGGGATATAAACTCCATGAGATTAGGGACTGTGTCTGATCCTCAGCACCTAGCATGGGGCTTGTCACATAAAAGTGAACAATAAGTATTTGTTGGCTCGAATCAAATGGGAGATTCTAGAGGTGGAGCAGTTCTGGGTGAAGACAAAGTCTGGGGTGTGGTCTTGTGAGTGGGTAGCTAAATGGGACAGAGGAGGAGGTCATGAGAGACACCGAGGTCATGGAATGAAAAGGACAGAGTGACACCCAGATGTTTCCGGCACCCCTGGGCCATGAGAGAATACCTGAAGACCCTGACTTGTGTCCTCAAGTCTTCAATGAGCGAGAAGCCGTGACGTGGCAGCAACAGGGGTGGGACAGAAGGCATAAGAGACAGATGGCAGGGGCCTGAGCTAAGCGAAGAGAGTTCAAGAAAGGGGAGATGGGAAGGTCTGAGAGTGGTAGTGAGGACTGGGGAGGGGGGTCTTGAGAGTGTGGGTAGGACTGAGGATACAAGTTCCATGGTGTTCTACCACCATCTGGCTCACAGGCTCAGGACTTGGGATATCCGGGAAAAGCACTCACAAAGAGGGCTGCCGCAAGGGGTAGTCAGGTTCCAGAATGTGCTCACCATATGCTGGTGGAAACTGGGATGGGGAATTTGGAATCCCAGAGGGATATGGATATGGTTATAACTGGTGGGGGCTTCATTGGTCTGAGCAGTGTGGGGCCATCTGGTTCTGAACTGGTTAGGAGTGTCAGCCTGCTTTCTGGGATTGGGTGGCGACAGCTCTGGTCTGGATTAGAGGTAGAGCCACCTTATTTCCTGGGGGTGGGAGTTGAGTGGATGGTATTGGTGCCCTACCCATGTCCCCTTTACTGGGGGACACCCATTCCCCGGCTGCTGTGAATATAGGGCACTTGTGGCTTCTAGAGCTGCCCCTGGAGAATTGACCTTGATTGAATAGGAATCGCCTACCCCTTCCTGTCAGCCCCGCTGCCCACGGGGTTGCCTGAAACCAATGAGTGACTGATATGGGAGCTCCAAAGCTTGATGCCCTTTCCTCCAGCGGGGACAATTCATCAGTGGGATTTATGATCCAAAGACCCCTCACCCCGCAGGGATCCGGCCAAAGCTGTTTCCCTGAGCCCATACGCAGCTCAGTTTGGCCCCCTCCCTCGCCTGCTTCTCTTGCTACTTCCTCTACATGCACACAAGTTCTTGCTGTTGGCTGTTTCCAGGGACCCTGACCTAAGAAGAAGTGACTTTTGATCTTGTCCCATAATTGAGGGTGGGGCACAGAGGCTGGGTCTCTGTGGACCACTAGAGACACGGCCCATCTAGGTGGGCTTGGAAGGTCCCCTCCTCTCTCTAGGCCAGCTTCCTTAACTGTAAATGAAATATTTAGTCTAGATTTAGTTAAAACAGCAGCAACAATGGAACCTATACACAAATGAGAGGGCACCTATCTGTGCTCCCTGGGCGAGGCGTGGTAAAGGATTCAGATAAACAAGACAGGTCCCTACCGCCGAGCAGCTCGGAGCCCATTTACTCATTTACCAAACGTTTATTAAAGGTAGCTGGTGACCTGGGTGAGTCAGTGTCCTGCCCGTGAAGGGCTCACAGGCTGATGGGGAGAATGGCAGAGGCAAAAGCTAGGTTTAAGGGTTCGAACCCTGGGGTCCAAGGAAGCGGGTGGAAGGGCATTCCAGGCAGAAGGAACACATATGTGAAGGCATGAGGCATGACACAGCGTGATGTGTCTGGTTGGGGACCCATAAGCCCTTTGGTATTATTATGGGTGGGAACAGGGAGAGAGGAAACAGGGGTGACATAGGGGAGGTCAGCAGGGACCAGGTTGAGGGCAGTGCAGGGGAGTGGTGGTAGTGGAAGAATTTTTAAGGCAGGAGGAACACCATAGGCAGGTTTGTAATACAAGGGCTACTCTGTCCCCACGGTGTCAGGGTGGTGGGAGAGGAAGGGGAGACTCAGGAGGCATTAGGGTGGGAATTGGTGGGGTGGGCTGGCCTGTGGGGTGTGGGAGGCTGGGAGATGGGGAAGGCATGAGGGTGTCAAGCCAGCTCCCGGCTGGGACAACTGGGTGGCTGGCATGCCATTCATGGTGAGGGAGTCAGTGACATGTGAGGAGGGTAGGTGTGGTCAGCACGGGAGCTGCTGACTGGAGGAGGGCTGGAGGCCTCCCGGAGGGCTGTCCCCATGGGCAGTTGGTGGGGGGCTCTGGCTCTGAGGCAGGTCCAGACTGGAGGTGTGATTTTGGGAGGGGTCGGCGTCTGAGTGGCATGAGTCGGGGTGGGTGGATGAGGGAATGTGAAGAGAGGGGGAGTTCCTCAGACTCTGTGAGGGACCCTGTAGCTCCCATGTCCTCAATAAGTCCCTGGCCTGTGGGGATATCCCCAGAGACTCCCCATCCTGGGTTCTCTCTTAGCACCTTCCACTCCCTCCAGGCTTTGCCCTGACACGCTCAGGGGGGCTTCCTCCCTGAGAAGTGTGATGGGCGGGGTGATGGAGGCTGGAATGCGGGGAGGGGCGAAGGCCTCCTGAACCAGGCACATTCACGGGAGGGACTCCCACTGAGAACTGACCTGTGCTGGGCCCAGGTATCCTGGGGTATCTTGGGTATCCTGGGGTCCTGTTCCTCCTGCCTCGGCCAGTTGGTTGCAGAGTCCAGAGACCCCTGGAGCCACCTCTCGGCATTCCCACCACGTCCTTGGGGCGCACTCTGTGTGCGTGTGTGTGGCGTTTGTTGTGTGGTGCGTGTGTGAGTGTGTGTGGTGTGGTGATGTGTGTCTGTGCGGTGGATGAGCTTGGATCTGAGGTTCCGGGGATCAGGCACCCACTGAGTGGTCGTGGCTCCTCTTTGAGGTCCGTGGCGAACCCCCCAGATGCTTCTACCCGCCGCTTCCCACCTGGTCTACAAAATACTGGGAAAATCACATTTATTAAGGGTTTTGACATACCCCATTGCCATATACAAAATCCCCACCAGCCGCCAACCTCCCTCCCTGGGGCTCAAGACCCAGAGACCATACTGCTCTCCAGCACTGGCCTGTGGGGTGCTTCCTGAGCCCCACAACTGTCTTCCTCACCTGCCCTGCTGCAGAAAAGAGGCCACTGCCCTGCTGTGGCCTCAGGGAACGGACCACGGACTTGGTGGTCCCAGGTGCCAACCTCACAGGTTATGGAAACCCACCTGCATCCATCGTGGCTGACCCAGCCTTCATTAGGACAGAGTTCCCATCTTGGGGGTGCTCTCTCTGGGAGAGGACATAGGGGGGGCATGTGTCGAGCAGGTGATCCCGGCGCGGAGACCGCCGACGCTTTGGGCTGAAGGTCTCCAGGCACCGCTTGCCCACCAGGTAGACGACCTCACTGAGGTTGAGCAGGATGCAGATCACAGCTGTGGCCACCATGAAGTAGGTGAAGACCTTCTTCTCTGTGGGTCGGGAGATGTAGCAGTCCACCGTGTGGGGGCAAGGGGACTCAGAGCAAGCCACCACCCGCGGCATGTCGTAGTCCTGGTAGAGGCGGTGGAAGATGTAGAGGAAGGCAGAGTCGACGGCAGCCTTGAAAATGAGACTCAGCAAGTACGTCCACCAGAGCCCGCCCCGCTTCTTGCTGGGGTTGTCGTACAGGGTCGGGGCATTGGGGCCGTGCTTCAGGCGGTGCTTCCGCTCCCGCTCCTGGCGGTAGGCCACGTGCATGACCACGAGCAGCGAGGGGCAGGTGACCAGGATGAGCTGCAGGGCCCAGAGGCGCACGTGGGACACGGGGAAGAACTCGTCGTAGCAGACGTTGGGGCAGCCGGGCTGCTTGGTGTTGCAGACGAAGTCCTTCTGCTCATCGTCCCACACCTCCTCCGCGGCCACCACGTACACCAGCACGCGGAAGATGAACACTACTGACAGCCAGATGCGGCCCAGCGCCGTGGAGTACTTGTTGACCCCGCTCAGGAGGCCCTGCAGGGATGCCCAGTTCATGCCGACCTTGTCCTGGCTTCCTCACGTGGACGGTCTACACCTGCGAGTGCCCGCTCCGGGTGTGGGGGCCACGAGGCCTGGGAGAGCCTGGAAATGGGTGCCCTTTATTAAAGGAGCAATTGGCAAAGCCCTTTCAGAGCCACTGTGTCATCATGTCCTCGCCTGCAGTGACTTGGTGGGGTAGGGATGGCCATTATCCCCATTTCATGGGGGTGGGGAGGCAGTGGGTAAGCTAAGGCCCAGAGAACTGCTACCCAAGGCCTCCCTCTGCTGGAAGTGGTGGAGCTGGTCTTGAACTCCCATCTTCCAGCTCCAAAACCAGGGGATATTTTATTCTATAGGGCAATGGATAAACGTGAAAGATAATCATCCTCCGTGGATGTGCCTACCAACTTCCTCGACCCTACGTTTCAGGCCTGCAGATTTCATGACTTCTACAGAAACAAGAAGGTGCAAGTTGGATGATTTGCCCTCCTGACAGTTGCCGGGGCTCGATAGGGGCAGGGGGAAGGGGGAAGGCATGTGCATCCTTATCCTCCAGCTTGTACTGAGCACCACCATGAGCCAGGCCCTGTGCTGGGTGTGCTCAAACTGGCCTCTTTGACAGACGCCTGAGTGATATCTGTCCTCACTGAGAGGCCCAGGACATCCCCAGCTCTGACATTTCCTCCCACACTAAGCAGGCTCTTTGGAACTGTGGCGGTTTGGCACCATGCACCTCCCCTCCCCTGCACCGGTGTGCGGCCTCAAGGGCTGACCACAGTGGGTTCCTCTGGAATTCCAACCATTTCGGCTTTAGGGAGGGACTGGGAAACAAAGGCAGGATTTTGGCTCGGTCCTCCCCTGACCTCTTATTTTTTCTCAGGGACACCTGCCTTCTCTGTTTGTCAGGCGGGTCTCCCATTATTCCCGGGGAGGCCCCTGTCCTGTGTACTCCGTCCTCCACACCCCCTTATCTGGAGAGGCATCAGGTTCCCGCTCCCGCCCTGCCCCTGCCCTGTTCCTGACCTGGACCTCAGCATCTTCAGAGCTTGTGATCCTGGGACATTTTCTGAATACCCTCCTCTATCTCTCATGGCAGAATGGATCACTGGTACTCAAGTCGTCTGTTTACCTGTCTCCCGTGCCACACTGTCAGCGTCTGGAGGGCAGCCTCTACGTCTCGATCATCTGTTCCCCCGGGACTCAGCACCAGGCCTGGCCTAGTGAACACATGATAGATGTTTGCTGAACTGAGCAGAAACTCTCTCTTCCTGGCCCCTCCTCTTCCTTGTCTCTTCTCTGGTCCTCGGTCCTCCCTGTGGTCTGGCAGGGCGTCCCCTCCCCTCCTTGGGCCTTCCCTGGAGGTTTTCCTCTGTCCCCTCTGCTCCTCCCGAGAGCCCGGCCTGCAGCCCGAGTTCCTGGGCATCCTCAGCCCACCTGCTCCCTGCTCCCAGCCCCATCTCCTGCCCGACTGGGTCATTACCTTTCTTGGGTCTGGCAGCCACTCTCTGGTCCCTGGGCTTGTCTGTGTGCCCGAGGGCCTCCCGGAGGCAGCTTTTGTTCCTCACTCCTCTGCTGGGTGGAGCTTTCTGAGCCAATGAGCCAAGGGAGAGTGAGCGGGTGGGCAGGCGGGCGGACTTCCCCGGGCACATATTCTGAGCAAACACCTGTGTGGCTCTTCTCCCCTGGCCCACGCCTTCTCTGCAGCCTGGATGGGCATGGCTGGGTCTGGCTCCCCGGGCTGGCAGGTATGTAGGCGAAACTGTAGGGGGGCGGGGAGGCAGTGCAGGAGCCTGGCATTCTCATGTCAGGGCCCAGGTCAGCCCCCACGCCGGCCTCCTGGTTCCTTCCCGTTACCTTATTGCCCCTGGTCCCTCTGTCCCCAGGTCTCTCTCCGGTCCTTTCTTCGAAAGCACGGCTCTGGGGTCCTCAGCAGCTGGTGTATGTGGAGAGAGGCAACCTCGATTCAACCCAGGATCCCTCTGCACCCCGGCATCTCCGGGGACTGGAGCTTGGGCTGCTGGTGTGCTGTGTGAGGTTGGGAGGGACGGATTTGGGTTCCTCAGACAAGGATAAAGCTGCCCTGGTGGAGACAAGGAATGCAGGCCGGCAGCATGAGATGTCCCAGTGGGCACGGGGCCAGGCATAGACTTGCTGTCCATCTGTGCCCACAGACCTGGGTCCCTGGGGAAGGCCTGCAGGGAAGTCAGGGCCGTCCCCAGCGGGGGCTGCAGAGGGGCCTTGGGGCTGCGTCCTGGCGGCTGGGAGAGTGAGGGTTAATGTGCAGCCAGGGAGGGGCTCCTCTGCTTCATTTCCCACAAGCATTTATTGAGCACTTCCTAATACCAGTGATTAACATTTATGTGGCCTTTTACAGCTGGCTTACCCCATCCACAGCCATGAGCTCATCCAACAGCCCCATCCCCTCCAGCCTCCATGTTATTAACCCACTTTGGAGAGGAGCTGAAGTCACTTTTAGAGTCCTGGTGGAACATGGGTTCGAACGGAAGTGTTCTGACTCAAAAGTTCACGAACTTTCCATTGCAATACACACGTCCCCACATGCTAAGCCCATTATGTTTGCAGATAGCCCTTGGGCCTACATTTGCAACTGAAGAGAAAGGCTTGTCTTGAGCTTGAGCAGGTGGCATGACCCCCAGGAGCACTGGGGACCTTTTTCTGGGTGAGGGGATGGCCCCTCACCTGGCTGGTTCAAGTCCAGCCTTTGCAGGGGCAAGAGAGGTTGACCCAGTGACCCGAGAGGTTTGCAAAGGATGAAGGAATGAAGTACAGCTTGAATCAAGTGGATGAGTTGACTTTTATTAAGCCTGGACCGTGGATGCCCCCCCACAGATGGCACTGGCACATCCATTCTCTAGATAAACCCCTCCTCACAGCAACAGCCCAGTGAGGGGCTTCACCTCCATTTTACACAGAAGGAAACTAAGGTGCAGTGTGGAGGGGTAACCTATCTGAGGTGCCACAGTGGAGACAGGTGCAGGATACCCCCTCCTGCCTGCCCCAGCTTGCAGCTCTGCTCCCCCACCCCCAAAGCTGTACCCGTGGGAGATGCCAGGCCCTTTCCAACCAGGCTTGACCAGGCGGCTCTCACAGCATGGTCTTCTTCACATGGTCTCGTGGGCTGTCTGGTAAGAGAGGAGGGTGAGAGTCCGAGCCCAGATAGATGAGGTCGCCCGAGAGGAGGTCGTCTTCCTTATAGGAAGAGATGGGACAGTCCGGGCGATGGCCCCCACCTGTGGCCCTGGCTTTCCTGGCTGCCAGACCCTCACGGCACCTCTTGCTCACCAGGTAGGCCAGCTCCACGAGGTTGAGTAGGATGCAAATGGCGGCCGTGACCACCATGAAGAGAGTGAAGATGTTCTTCTCCGAGGGCTTGGAGATGAAGCAATCCACCGTATTGGGACACGGAGCTGCGTGGCACTTGACCACATGGGGCAGGGTATATTTGGGGTAGAATGAGTGGAACACATAGAGGAAGGCAGTATCCACACCGGCCTTGAACACCAGGCTGCAGACGTACGTCCACCAGAGCCCACCCCGCTTCTTGCCGGGGTTCAGGTAGAGGCGCCCACCGTCCTCCCCCACTGCCTCTCGGTGCTTCTTCTCCCGAGCCTCCCGGTAGGCCACGTGCATGACCACGAGCAGCGAGGGGCAGGTGACCAGGATGAGCTGCAGGGCCCAGAGGCGCACGTGGGACACGGGGAAGAACTCGTCAAAGCAGACATTGGAGCAGCCTGGCTGCTTGGTGTTGCAGTCAAAATCCTTGTGATCGTCACTCCACACTCGCTCGGCCGTTACCAGGTACACCAGCACGCGGAAGATGAAGACCAGAGACAGCCAGATTCGCCCAAAGGCTGTGGAGTACTTGTTGACCCCGCTCAGGAGCCCCTCGAAGACCCCCCAGTTCATAGCGGACCCAGGCGTCGGCTGCTACTCCTGGGAAATGATAATAATTCCCCACATTTTTAAAATACCCACTCTGAGCACCTTATAGAAATACTATATATCATCCATATTTAATTCCCATAGCCACAGAGGAGCTAGGTTCTGTTATTGCCCCCATTTTATAGATGAAGGAAACTGAGGTTTAGAGGTTGTACAGACTGCACAATTATTAGGTGCAGAGCTGGGATTTGAGCCCAGCTAATTAAATCCAGAACCCAACTCCTATCCATAAAAGTGTGTGAAGGTAGGTCCGGGGAGTCACTCCTTCCTCCCTGCAGAGTGAAGGCTTAAGTAGGGGAGACACTCTGCCTTCTTGCTCTGTCCCAGCCCTGGCCCTCCTCCTCAGGGGCCTGAGCTTCAGGAAGACTTCTCTCCTTTTGAGCACTGCTCTCTCCTCTTAGCCTCTCCTAAGGGGAACCTGCCCTTTGCCCTTTCCTTGGCTTGGGGGATTGGGCCAGAGAAGCTGCTGGAGCCTTGTCCCCAAACTGCCATCTGGTCTGACACTCAACAAATATCCAGGCAATGTCTTGCTCGAATGCAACTCACTTGAAGCAAGGCCAATGGCAACCCGGCTGAAAGATCAAGTAGGGGACAATGGTTCTCTTTATCCAATAGCCTTCCTCGAGTAGCCTGGTATATTCTGTACTTTGGATTCCCAAACTGGGTTTCCATGGAACCCTGCCCATAGTTTGGCAACAGGAGTAGTGGGAGAGAAGGATTCTGTCTTCAGCAAAGGTAGGCAGACTCAGGTTCAGCAGAGTTAAATAGGTCCCTTCACTTGACCATGCTAATACATTTACGCTGTGAATCTCCAAAAGGGGGACGAAATATGTAGCATTGCCCAAACTCCTTTGACCACAGAAACTTTTTTTTTTTTTAAATCACCGTATGGAACAGTCTTATTAAGATGGCAAAATGGGAAATTCTTCTCTGGCCGGTTTCACTGTGAGTTTGGAGTGATAAACCCACAGGCAGCAGATTTAACTCCATTTAGGGACTCTGACTGCCATCCGTAGTGCGGGGTGCCCGCCTGCTCTCTTGGAATTCTTCGGCCTGGTTCCTGGGCTGGGGGTGGTTCCCTGACACCCATGCCCTGTGGTCTCACCTGCTGGGATCCCCAAGGGCCTCAGGGAAATGGCACAGCCTCTTGCTCTAAGGGGTTCCTGGTGCCCTTTCCAGCACTGGTCATTCCCCTGTCTTGACCGCCTGTGGGATCCGCTAGAGAGCAGGGTTGTGATAAGAGGCAACTTTTATTGGGTGTTTACACAACACCAGGCACTGTGCTGAGCACTTTGCATGAGCCAATATAGTATAAAAGGGTGTGCTATCTTTTTATTCCCATTTTACAGATGAGTAAAGTGGAGCACAGAGAGGTTAATTAATCTGCTCATATTTATGCCCCGGAAGCAGCAGAGCTGGGACTTGAATCACACCCTGGGGTCCTGGACCCCTTTCCTTAAGTTGCAGGAAGCTGCCTGCCCATCTGGTCTGTGCCCACCCTCTCCTCCACCAGGTGGATGCCAGGTAAGGGAGGCTAGAGGTGTCTCTGCTCCCACCCTGTCTCTCAGCTCTTCAGTTGAAACCACTTACCACTTGGTTGTGAATCATCAACTTATCTTTGCTCAGTCCTGCCTAAAGTGGGAGGATCTCCTGGCGGCCTGACAGGGTACAGCCGAGGAGGCTCCAGCCTCAGTCTCCAGAGGCTCTGGGCCCAGCCCACCCAGGGTGTGGTGGGGTGAGGCTTTGCAAGCCGAGGCAGAGCCGCTTCGCTTGCTCAGCCTCTGGCACCCCTGGGAGCCCCTCGCCCACTCAGTCGCTGGCTCCTGCTTTGCTCGGGGCTGGGGAAGAGCAGAAAGAACCCAGAGCAGAGGAGGGAGGAGCCCTCTGTTCCTCTCCCACCAGAACCCAGGGTGGCCCATATGTCCAGGCTGCCTCGCTTGCCCCTCCACCAGAGACGTCTCCCTCTGCCAGGTATGCTGAGGGTCCATCTGGACACAGGTGACCTTACCCGAGTGGCTACTCCTCAAGGCTCCTGGCAGCTGGCAGTCGGAGGCAGCTGGAACTCATGTCAGAACCAGGAAGAGAGTTTGGGGCAGCGCCTTGCTGGGACGGAGCCTTCCTGGGAGGGAGCCTGCACACTCCGCAGGCAGCCGGGTGTGCCTCTGGCCTAGGAGGAGGCGGAGCTGTGCCTGGCTCTGCCATTGGCTGGGCCCCAGCCTCCCCAGACTGCCTCTGAGGAGCCCAGAAACTTAAGGGCTCATGGTTCACTCTTCCCGGAGCGCTGAGCCCAGAATCCTGGCATCCTCTTAGGGGAGAGCCACAGGTCCACTCTACTTCTTGGCTTGTCGGCTCATCCTTGGCCTTGTGATCGAGTAGCTGAGGTCGTCCTGCCTTCTCATCCTTCTCCAGGAATGCCCCATGCTGTTTCTTGGGCCTCGACCCTTATGGCTCCGGTTACCTTCAGAAACGCCGTCTCCAGCCCAAATTATTGCCCTATCCCTTGCCCACCCTTGGATGCCCTTCCCTCACTTTTCTCATCACCTGGTACTCCTCCAAGAAGCCTTCCCCAACTATGTCATTCCAGGTGGCCTAGGGCCTCATCTCTGGGCTTCCACGGCCTTGAACTTCCACATCATCATGACTGTATTGGAATAGTGGATCTTAACTGAGCTTTTCCACGTAATAAACCAATCAATCCACACCAATAGACATTTTTAGGGACCTGTGAGCAGGACATAAAGCAGACCAGCCCCTGAAACCCAGAAACTCCCAACTTGGCCTTGATTACCAGCTGATAAGACCAGTACCAGCTGCACAGCCTCTCATGACTGCCAAGAGGCCATGGAACAGGTTTCTGGGCCCAGTCTCCCCTTCTCCATCATCCTGTGCCTGCTGGAATCCAGTTTAGTCATTGTGCTGCTACCCTGGGTGCACGAGGGATTGTGCAGAGAGCCACCCCCTCCCCAACACACACACACACACACACACACACACACAGAGCCCCCTCAAGCTCCAACCCGACACGCAATAGCCTTTCCACCAACTCTTGTTTTATTATTTTGTTTTAAAGTTTATTTATTAATTGTGAGACAAAGAGTGAGCCCGTGCGCATCTCTGGGCCTCACACCCCTGCATCTGGAGCCCATACACGCCTGCATCTGGAATCTGACACCCTCTGGATTTGATTCTTACTTCTGGTACTTTAATTTATTTTTTATTTTAAAAAATTTAAAAAATCTTTATTTATTTTTGAGAAAGAGACAGAGTGCAGCAGAGAGAGAGGGAGACACAGAATCTGAAGCAGGCTCCAGGCTCTGAGCTGTCAGCACAGAGCCCAGTGTGGGGCCAAACTCATGGATCATGAGGTCATGACCTGATCTGAAGCCGGACACTTAACCAACTGAGCCATCCAGGCGCCCAAACCTCTCATACAACCTATTCTTCAAAGTACAGTGAGACTTTTTTTTTTTTGCCCACGAGAAGTGTCCTGTGGAGACAGTGAGCACGATGCAGTGCGGCGACTGAGTACAGGGTGCGTGGCTCGAATCCTATTTCTGCCTCTTCCTCTCTATGTGATGCCTCAGTTTCTTATCTGCATAGTAGGACAGTAACATCACCTACCTGTTAGGGTTGGTGCGCTGATTGACCCGCTAATCGAGGCATGGTGCTGGAACAGTTCTGGCACCGAGGAAGCTCTCTTTAGGAAGACCGCTGATGCGTGTGAACTGAGCTCACCCACAGGCCTGGCACAGGGTGGGCACTCACAAAAAGTGACTTCCTCCCCTTGTCCTTATTCCTATGCCTTTTCTCCCCAAGATGTAGGGGAGGCAGAGAAAGGAGGGGGAGACAGACATACCAGAGAAAACCTCATGTGGACGAATGCTGTCTTTGGGTTAAAAAGGCAAAACCCAGGGGCGCCTGGGTGGCTCAGTCGGTTAAACATCTGACTTCGGCTCAGGCCATGATCTCATGGTTCATGAGTTCGAGCCCTGCATCGGGCTCTGTGCTGACAGTCTGGAGCCTACTTCAGATTCTTTGTGTGTGTGTGTCTGTCTCTGCCTCTCCCCTGCTCTCTCTCTCTCTCTCAAAAATAAATAAACATTAAAAAAATAAAAATAAAGCAAAATCCGGCCTACTCAGTGGCTCTGAGAGAGGGGGGCGGGTTGGGCAGGCAGATGTAGCCTGTTGTCTCAATGAACTTCTAAGATGCTCTTTATGAGCAGGTGACACGGGGTCAGAATCCAATGCACTGTGTGTCCAGGAGCCACAAATAGCACAGGTCCACAGCAAGCACAGTGCAACTGCACATGTGCGCACACGCACACACGTCACAGTTATGGGCACAGTGTTACACGCAGGAGGCAGTGCTTTATTTTGTTTGCTGCTCTACCCCTGGTGCCTAGAATGGTGCCTCGTTCCAAGTTAGGCCTCATTTATGTTTTTTGAATGAACAATGTCTGAAATTCATGCACCCTGCAAAAATTCACACATATCTGTCCGCCTCTACATTCTTCCCCCCAAATGATGACCAAGTCCGGGAGAGGGGAGACACATGGGTGCATCAGGTCCAACACTGTGAGAAATGCTATAAGGCAAATGCTATAAGGGAGCGTCACGTTCTGCCAGAGGGAGATCCAGACAAGGTAACATTTAAGTTCAGTCTTGAAGGATGTATAGGAGTTCACCAAGAGGCGTGGAGGAGAGGCCTCTGAGACAGAGGGACTCCGTGAAAGATGATAGGAGACCTGGGAGTGGGGGGGGCCGTGGGAGCACCAGAAGATGGCTGGAAGGTTGGCAAGGATAGTCTGGACCCTGAAAAGCCCTGGAACACTGTGCCAAGAAGTTTGGATTTACCTTTAGTGCAGAGGGAGGCTTGAGGGCAGGAAGGAAGCTGCATGGTCATACTGGTATAGTTGATTCTCATTATTCATGGTACTTATGTTCTATAAAGTCGCCACAAACACTGAATTAGCAAATACTGAAACTTTGCCCGTGGGGGAAATGCAGTGTCAGGTTCCTCCAGGTTCTGGCCACATTTTCATCAACTGATCAATACCTAACCTTGTTTTATGTGTGTTTCTTCCTAAAGACACCCTATTTAATATATATTGTTGAAACACTACCATTAACCTCATGACCAAGAGCACCGTAATTCACACCAGAACAAAGCTCATCGAACCACACGTGTTTTCTCCCTAAGGCTCATCACAGACTTCCTGTGCTTAGGAACTGGCCACCACCTTGCTGCTACCCTCAGGGGCCAGTTTAAACAGCAAAATCACCAACAAAAAGCACAAAAATGAGAAAATGTGGCACTAAATCGCCCTCAAATAGGACGTTTATTTAACGTCGCAGAGTGTTGCTTGTTCAGCCTCAGCTGGGGATGTGCACGTCGGGGACTCAAATTTTTGGCTGCTCTGTGCATGTCCACAAATGGCTGCAAAAGCACCAGGCGTATTGATTTATGGGGGAAGGTTGTTAAACAAATACATTTTAGTGAATAGACGAAGTCTTAAATATGGAATCCATGAATAATAAGGATCGACTGTATGTTTAGAAAGCTCCCTCTGCTTGAGAGAAGAGGCATGTGAGACTGGTGAGTTATCACAATTGATTTAGGTAAGGGAGGAGCCGGAGGGATGGATCTGGGAAGCGGCTGATGAGTACAGCCAGCACTGCCTGTATGGGTTCAGATTGGCTGCAGGGGGCAGGTAGGAGGAAGCCCCCAGTGGTTCCCAGGTTGCTCGTGTTGGTGATTGAGCAGGTGGTGGGTCCGCTGATGGAAGTAAGGACCACAGGAGGAAAAGCAGGCTGTCTTGGGGGAGGGGGAGGTGATACAGAGGTTCTTCCCAGATGATCAGGAGTTAGTGAGGTCAGTGCTCCATGGGGAGGACAGCCATGTGGACTGTCTACAGCCAGCAGTTGGCAGCAACAGCTGGGGGCGGTGATGGGAGCCCCAGGATGTGGCCTTGAAGTCGTGCTGGATGACATGAGAAGAGGGTCCAGGCCGAGCTCTGGGGAGCACTGACATTTTAGGAAGCAGGCGAGAAACGGCGTTATCTGTGGAGGGCTAAACCAGCGCAGGCAGAGGAGGGATGGATGTCATGAAAGTGCAGAGAGGCCAGTTGAGGTCTCTGGTGACTTTTGGCAGGATAATTCAGCCAAAAGGAGTGGGTGGGGAAAGAGGAGATTGAACCTTTTTAGGAAGCTTGCAGGGCAAAAAAGTCAGGGCAGACGCATCGGGGCCGAGGGCTTCCTTCCAAGGAGACAGGAACAGATGGAGGGGGTTGCTGGAGGGCCATTCCACCTGCAGATGTCTAATGCATTGTGCCTGTCATCCTTTCTCTTACTCTTCTCTTTTCTGGGTCTCTGGCCCTACTCCCCTGTCCCTTGGTCCTCAGCCAGGGCATTCTTGACTCTCTTCATCATCTTTGATATGTCCTTGTGGTCCAGACGGACCCTTCCCTGAGCCCTAACTTCAGGAGACAGTCTTGGCCGCCCTGTGGGGTCAGCTCTGGCTGTTTCCTCTTTCCTGCTCTTTTTCCCTGTTAATGGGTGTGGAGTGGGTGGGAGCCGGACTCCCTTCTGGACACCAGACACCCCCAGGTTCTCTTGTAAATGCAGCAGCCAAAGGACAGTATAGGCACCGTGGCCTGAGACCCCACTGATGACTATTGAAATTCCTGTTCCCAAAGGAGAGTACAGTTTTGGTTCTTTTGGTGAGGGAAGTCAGCCCATGGGGCTGAGGTGGTGTCCATTCCCTGTACCCAGGAGAGGTGGAAAAGCTGGAAAATGGGGTAATAAAGTCAGCTTATTTATTGAGCACCTCCTCCATGCCAGAAACTAGGCCAAATGCTCTATGTGCACCAAACACATAAATGCAAGTTATGTTTTTAAAAAATCTGTTCAAGAACTTTTAGTGGCTCCCACTGTCTTGAAATAAAATCTCATATTGCTAACATGGTCTGTAAAGCCGTGCACCATGAGACCTCTGCCACCCTTTGTTCTGAGCCTCTTCTCTTCTATCTTTGTGCTCTAGCCACACTGGCCTCTCTCTTTCTAGAACATAGGAATCTCTTTCCCACCTCAG